CAACCATCAGGTTGTTCAAATTTCAAAAGCTCCAAAAGCCCTCGCTCATTCTGGATTGTCTCGTTGCGACGTTCCCCATACAGCACTCGAGATTCGCTCGCGTAAGCGACTGCAACTGATCAGTAATGCCAATCTCGAATGAAGAATTATCGGGAATCTTGAAGAAAGCAATCAAAACCGATCAAATCACAAAATCACTTCGAAGTACAAATTGAGTGTCTCCAAAGAGATTCGAAGTGACTTAAAACACTCCAATGCCATCCGACATCAGAAGTTTCCCGTACTCAGCGCGAGGGCGCGTATCCTTCTCTTATTTTAAGCTACGCGAAAGAGACCGGTAAGAGCTTCTTTTTTCAAATGACTGTGACTTCCTTCAGACTCTCATTTCAGTGAGGTGTCCGAGGAAAAGGGGACCCTGGGCCTAGCAATTGGCAGCATATTCTTACTAGACGTGAGTCCTGGCGTCACAGCAGTGGAGCACACCACAAAAATGGATTCTTGATGTACGTCGCTGAAATGCCAGGAATATTAATATTAAAGGCGATGTTACGTTTGGGTGGGAAGAAGGGGAGATAAGCCTGCCGTAAAAGGATGCTCTAAGGTGGCCAGAGGGGCTTGTACCGTGGCGAAAGGTTCGCTTATTGCAAACTAGTAAAGCCCAACCCCGGCAATGACATCTTCCGCGGCAAGGCCCGTTTCCTTCGTCGTAATTTGCTCATCATTTTGAAGGGACATTTTATGACGAGCGGCTCTTTTATTTTAGGTTTCTATTTTAACCGTTATCAATAAAAGGGTGATATTTATTGGCACGATATCGGCAACCAGAGTTAGCGAACGAGCTCGTCTAAAGCTGAAATCAGAAAAAAGGCCTCATTTTCCGTCTCTCAAGTCGTTTGCTCTCGGAGTTCTTGACCATATGCAGCCCTTAGCAACCTTCTTTAGCCTACATATGACGGCAACATTCTTTGTGTAAGCCAATCGCTCTTTCACAGCGACCGCCGCGTTAATGCGACACTGAAAGGCAATGCGGCCCCCTTAACCGAGCTGTGTGACACGTGTAATGAAGTTAATACAAAAGCACGCGCGCCAGCATTCTGGATGGTTACTCCAGAGGACCGCAGCCAACCCTTCGCGAACGTATTTACCAGGAACAAGGACGGCAGATACAAAAATCCGCCAGCAAAGATACCTTTCAGAGGGCCTTGCCATAATGTTAGACCTTCTTGCCTCCCATGGAACGGCAAGTAATTGGTACGGCCGAGTATTCTTAATGTCGCATTGCTGCATACATCTTTTGAATTTGATCACCCTTGCCGCCGAAACATGAATTTGATCGTGGTGATGTCCCGTTGCGCTGCCTCGCAAGTGGGTGCCACTGAAACTGCTCACTTTTGTGAGCTGAGCCGACCACGGACATTCGAATGCAGGCGACAGGCCCCCGTGACAGGCCGGCCTACGAACACCCAAGTCACATCACAATGTCAATGTCGCTACAAGTATCTCGAGATAATGCTACGGCGTCCGCGGGAGCCGACGCGCACTCGCAAAGCCCGGCGAGTGTGAAAAGTATGCGAGGGTCTCCGGTGCAAGGACGGCATCGGGGGGCAACTAGGCTAGTCCAAAAGTCCCGCAACGTATGGAAGACTCGCGTTGCAACGTTAAATGTTGGCACGTTAACGGGACGCTCGCACGAGTTAGCAGAAGCTCTGGAGCGCCGAAGAATTGATTTCTGTGCCGTGCAGGAAACGAGGTGGTCCTGCTGCAAGTCGAGGGACATTGGCCGCGGCTTTCAAAGCCGTTCTCTGTGGCGGTCCCAAAACCACCAATGGCGTCGGGATGATTGTCTCTGAACGCTTTCGTGATTCGATAGTAAACGTGGAGCGCTTCGACGACCGATTAATGAAAATCATTGTCGTCATTGAACACGAAAATACCACTTCTTCTCTGCGTACGCTCCGCAGACCGGATGCTCCGAACAAGCCAAAGATAAGTTCTGGAATCTGCTTGATGAGAAGACAGCTGAGGTTCCGTCACAAGAAGCTATAATTGTCGCAGGTGACCTCAATGGGCACGTTGGCGCTACGAAAGACGGTTACAGCTGTCACGGTGGTTTTGGATATGGGTCACGTAACACTGATGGCGAGCGAATTCTCGAGTATGCAGACTCGCACAACCTCGCCATTGTGAACACGAAATTCCGAAAACGCGACTCACATCTCATCACCTTCTATAGCGGTAACACCAGAACACAAATTGATTTCGTACTTGTCAGGCGCCGCGACCAAGGGCTCGTAACAGACGCGAAAACAGTGCCTTATGAAACGGTCGCCACGCAACACCGACCACTAATTTGTACGCTAAAGATCGCCCCGCCGAAACCGAAAACTAACCGAAAGGTGTGGGCCAGCGAGAATTAAGTGGTGGCGACTGAAGGAAAAAGAAGCGGCCGTCGTTTCCCGCATTCGATTACCAGCGGTAACGACTGTCGACGAAACCTGGAAAGGTGCTGCCGAAGAAATAACTCGGATAGCCTCGAGTCGAGCTCGGGATGACCAAGCCTGGACGCGCCGAATTGACAAACAACTGCGCCTGTCGGCACAGTACCACGGTCCATTAACGAGAAGGTGCGCGACACAAAAGCAAGAAGCGGGTACCACCATGTCTTACCGCAAAACCGCCCCAGCTGATTCACCTGCGCGGCAACTTAAATCAGATTTCCGGCGAAGAAAGCAGGCCAAAGAAGGCCCGTTGCTCTCCCGCGACCAAGCAAGCTCAATTTTGCTGATCATCAGTCAAGCAACACCTCGAGCGCTGTGAGCGGTACGCGCTTTAACCCGACTTGCGCCAGACCTCGCGATCCGCCTCCCAGACCGAGGATATAGAAAAATTCTTCGGCATAAATGACGAAAATGGCCCACCTCTTGACGGACCGCAAGAAAACACTGAAGCGATGGCGTGACTACTTCGAAAACATCTCAACAGTCGAATTTACTCATCCCGCCATCCCCTGTGCACCGCCAGTACACGGACCCCGTTCAGAAGATAACCATGGAGGAGACCATCACGGCCATGAAGAAGATGAAATCAGGCAAAGCAACTGGCCCTAACGACTTAGCGGCAGACCTGTGGAAATCAAAATGCTGGAAGATCCTGCGAATGGCTTTGCACCAGGACGCTTCTTCAACCCACGCATTCCGTTGCAGCACAGAAATCGGTCGGCCTGAAGCGCGAACAAACACGCACGAATTCCTCATCCTCGGCAAGAAGAAGGGCAGTGCCTACGGAACAGACTGCCACGCAGCTTCCCGTCCAATTCGCGACTGCCCTCTCCCCCGCACAGTATGAATATCTTTCGAAGCGAGTTGTAAAGATAGCCGACATCCGGGAACCATCGCTCGAAGCTGACCGCACCAACAAGGCCGGTGCTGGCTTTGCTGCCTAGTTGCAGCACTTATCGATGCCATACATCGCGCTGCGCACATTCCTGCTAGAAAAAGCATCGCGAGAAACAAAGACCGGTGCACCTTGCCTTCCTAGATTTGGAGAAGGCATTCGACCGCGTTCCGCGGGACGTTATATGGTATGCCTTACGACAGCATGGCGTGCCTGAAGAGCTCGTCGAGTGGGTGCGCATCCTTTACTCGAGAGTCCAAAGAGCCGAGTGCAAACGGCAGCAGGAACATCGATGGATTTTCCCATCTCTGTCGGGGTACATCAAGGCTCTGCGTTATCCCCACTCCTATTTGTTGTCGTCATGGATGCCATTACGAGAGATCTCCAGAAGCCGGCTCCATGGACACTTCTTTATGCTGATGACGTGATGCTCGCTAGCGAAGATAAAAGCACGCTCGAGCAACAGGTACAAGCCTGGTCCGATCGTCTAGCTATGTTCGGGCTCAAGCTGAACGTTAAGAAGACTGAGTACTTGACCACCGATTCGAGTGAGTTAGGCTCTATTAAGATCAATGGTACTGAACTCACTCGTGCAACATCATTCAAGTATCTTGGATCAGCAATCGCGTCTGACGGCAGCCTGGTCTTCGAAACGAAATTCTCGCGTGAATGCAGCCTGGTCGAAAAATGCGCGCTCGATGACTGGCGTTCTCTGCGATAAAAACATGCCAGAACGTCTCAAATCTAAGATCTATAGGACCGTCATCCGGCCGGTCGCGATTTACGGTGCTGAGTGCTGGCCTACGACTAAAGAGATCGAAGCACGGCTAAGTGTGATGGAGACCAAGATGCTGCGATGGACAGCCGGAGTCACACGAGTAGACCACATCCGAAACGATGTCATCAGAGAGCGATTCGGGGTGGCTCCAATTGTCGACAAGATGCGCGAAGCCCGTCTTCGATGGTATGGTCATGTCCTTCGCGCGAAAGATGACAGTGTCTGTAAGATCGGTCTCTCAACCTTGACGTGCCAAAGGAAGATTCTGATCTCCACCTTGCGCCAGCACTCCTAAAATCACAGTACGACTAGGATAGACATTCTGGGGCCGTAGCGTATGCTTCCGTTCCCCCGAATAGTTGGGGGAAGAAAATCCCTTTAAATTCTTTTGTTTTGAACGATACTGTTTCTTCATTTTCAGTGCATGTTTACTTTAACCTACACACATATATTAAATGTAGGCCCTTTATCAGGACAATCCCAGTTGGGAAGACAGAGAAATTTTAAAGGATTTTTTTCGTCCCCCAACCCTTTCGGGAGTCCATACCTAAAACGGCCTGTGCTAAATCGTGAGGTAAGGGGAACCACTCTGAGATTAAGCTCAGAGGGCAGAAACTTAGGGGAAAGTAAAGGCCCTAAGAGGGGCACTCTGAATCTCTCACTTCCTGCACGCCAAAGCTTCAGTTTTTTGAAAACAGGTACGTTTCCACGCCGAACTCTTGAGTGGCATGCCACAACTGCCCCGCCTCTGTGATAGCCGAACATTACTAATAAGAATTGATTATCGTGACGTGACAGATTTCAGGGATGAAGCCCCCTTCAAAGACAATTACGACCCATCCCTTCCTTGAACCACAAAATAAGACCCGTACGTCTTAAGTCTGCGCGACGGATGGCTGACTGTGGGTAGATTGCTACTAACACGAACACGTACCACCTTCTCGTCCTCGCAGTTGTGGTAGATGTTGAGTTTTGGATCGATTTTCGACCATTCTGTGTCGTTTCCCTTCAACTTGAAGTGACCGTCTTTGTCAGAGAATGCTTCGTCCATGAGAGTGTCCTTTACTGGAAAATTGATAATTATGTCAATTTGAAGGGAAACATTTTTAATAGTAAATTTCCAAAGGTCAGGATTGCGGAAGAGAAACCAGTTCTGAGGGGTAGTGTGAAGTGATAAATCAATAATAGCGTTGGAGTACAGGGAAAAACTTACGTGGATCAACCTCGTAAAGCTTCAGTCGTGCTTTTTCATAGGGTTTTCCGTTACACAGAAGTTTTCCCTGCACCGCAGTACTTTGAACGGTACGAATCTGAAGATCCGGAAGAATATCAATGCCGACAACACCCAGTGGTACGATGAGTGCCAACAAAAGCAGCATTCTGAAATAATAATTTGCAGAAAAAAATAGGTACAAAAAGATCACCATGACGGGTCTCGACCTACTGAGCAGGTATAACGGTGGAAAAGCGCTGAACCAAGAAATTATTACAGCAATACGTTGCTGACTGGCACTGTACACTGATTATTACGAACGGTAACCTTGAGAGGTGGTGGAAACGGGACTGTCGTCGTCACCCTTGACGCAAATATTGTAATGTCTATTAAGAAAAAGTGCTGATTAGAATGACTCAGAATATTGATCAACTCACCCTGTTTTCTAGACAACTTGAAATATTTGCACGCTCCTTATTTTTCATGCAAAAGTAGGAAACAGAAAAAGAAAAAGAAAAACGATGTGAAAAAATCAGCAAGCCGCCGGCCCACTGAAGAATTAGCAGCATATCTGGAAAAGTGAACTAAAGCCTTCAATCGTAGATTGGAATGGTGAGTAAGTTCACAGCAAGGTATGTAGGCTCGTGGAGAGAAAAGCCAAGCATCCCCTGCCACATTCATAAGTACAACCCCTCCTTCCCCCAGCTCCCTGCGATACCCACCCCAAGTTGATTCACTGTTGAACCTCGTAGTACGTGACACCAGGGTCAACCGCCCGTTGCGCAAAGAACAACGAGGGGGTCGTATTTGGCCGAACGAAAGGGGGGGGTGTATACACAGGGACCCGCGGTGAAATGCATGGAGAAAACAGGATTCCATGTAACAGTACAACGCAACTACAATCGCGATACTATCACCGTCTCCAGGGAGTGGAGGACTTTCAAATGCTAGTGCGACTGCTAACCACAGACAGGTGCACGGCGTACCCCGAGCAGGAGTTTTCACTTCAAAACGCTTTATCTGTCAGCGGCCGTAAGAGCAGACAAACTTCCTCAAAATCTTGATGCTTTCAGAACAAATCTAAGCATAAGTGGAAGAAAGTTAAAACTGAATTGTCTTCTAGAGACCACTTCAGAAATTCTGGGCAGAAGTAGAGGTTTTCAGGAAAATTTTGCATACGTTGCTAAGCACTCTTCATGTAGACTTCAATTCTTTTTACCTCTTCTCTTTATACGAATTTTGAAGGAAATTATGGACGTTTGAAGATTGCAGAGTCGCGTTTCATGAAAATGGCTTGAAAAAATCAAGGGATTGGAAAAACGGAACAACGGGACTATTTTTTGAAGAGTGTGCTTTCTGAAAGAAGTTTTAGCACTGATTCGAGAGCTCTAATCTTCCAGTCTTGTAATTAGCTTCGAAAATGTGAGACAAAAAGTTTTCATTACCGAAGGAAGTATAAATGTTGTAACATGTCGAAAGTTCACAGCTGTGCCCTAAAAAAGGAACAACGGGACGATTTTCGAAGAATCGAAGATTTGCAAAATTTCAAAGCCTTTTTGGGAAGAAAATTATCGTAGCTCTTAAATTTTTGTATCCCATCTCATGATACCCCTTTTAAAGAAAGATATAACCTTTCAAGTGAAAAGGTCTGTGTCGCAACGTAATTGTTGCAAGGTGTAGTTTTTGAGTTTACAAAAGAGGTTATTTGGAAGTTTGGGAAAAAAACCTGGTAGTTTTCGGGGTCTCATCTATCATAACTATTCCCAAATATCATGCAAAAGTTCGGAAATTACTTCATTTCATGAGGGAAATTCCATATGTTGCTCGGTTCCCGTCCTTTGAGCGACAGTAAGCGCCGGAATCCCACTGCGCACCACTTCTCTCCGTGTTGATGAAGGCCCATACATCGATGCTGGGCTGGGCATAGAAATATGTACAAGGACATAAATAGCTAATACATGAGCCAATACGGGAGGTCGTCCTGACGGGAAAGGGAGGGGGTCGTAAAATTTTGGAATTTGCACAACGCAGGGTTGACCCTGCGTGACACCCTCTAAATCCCCATCCGCTTCCACTTTCTCGAATTCAAAGCACGTCAGTTAAAAATAGGCACCGTTTGCTCCTCACTCTTAAGAAATGCCAATTGTGGCTTGCCCTAGTTAATAACATTCTCCAACTTGTCTTTCCTTGGAACCTCGGCAAATAAGGTGAAATTTTAGCTTTAGTTCTCTTGTGCCTTACGGAGTTGTTGTCGGGAGTTATTTAACAATGGAGCTTCCGGCAAATGTATTTCCTTCAGTGGAAAATTTTACATCATTTGAGCGCAGAAGCTCACAGCTTCACTGAAGCCCTAGCCAGTCGGAATAGTAAGGTCAATCTACCGGGTAAACGCTACCCATAATTATAGTTGTTTAGCTTCAGCAGAGCTTCAAGCTTTCAGAACCCTATTTCAGAAAAAGTGCTGTATTGTCTGGAAAAAGAACATTACTCCCACTCGGACTTTGTCCAGAGTATTCGTAAATTTCTTGTCGAATGGTTTTCCAAGCTCCGGAGTAAAAAGGTAATGGAATAGTGCAATCCGATAGTTATGGAGGATGGGGCTTGGTTTGCCATTCCAAGTCGCCTAACGTTCGCGTGATCATCCTCGCTCTTCGCGGGCGGAAAAAGAGGGCTTGGAAAGTCGATGCGGCGTCGACTAACTCAACGTGCAGGTTTTTCAAGAGATTTTCAAGGGATTGGAGGTGTCGGTGAGTACTCGAATAGCCAAATTCAAAGTTGGCACTTGATTTCTTTACAGTCATATTCGAATTTTCCTTTACCGTCTTCAGCAGGAAGTCTAGCAAGCTTTCCACAACAATCCTCATTTCTCATGCTACCGACTCTGGACAATCTACAAATTCAGCAACGAACTAGACTAGATACTGGTGTTTATCCCTCCCATTCCTGCACTTACGATTACGATAAAGAGGGAGCACATAAGCGCGAAACGTAATCACCAAACACTGCAGTTTTCTTGGCCTCTGCCTACAGCAGGCGAACAGTTGGCCCACTTCACCAGCGAAGGGTTGCGCTGCGTTGCCTCAGCCAGGACTTTGAAAGCGTCGCGCCACACAAGCGATTTCCGCCCATCAGATCACATTTGATTTGAGACGAACTGCGTGGCTAGCAGTGGCAAATGGAGCACTCGATTTAAGCGTGGTTTGGCAATGGTGCCATCAACGTTGCGGTGAACTCGTTCATAACTCCGCTTTCTGAGCTGTTACCTGTTGATGAGTGAAAACCAACGGCCAAAAAGGGGGTCCCGTTTTGCGTTTTCTTGACGGATTTTTCTGCTTTTTTCGCCACTGGCGTACCATTGAGCACCACCACGTCACAATAAGCCCTTCTTGAATTTTCCGTAATCGCTGCCTTCAAAGGGCATCATAGAGCGCGTACCAACACTTGTCTTGTGACAGAAGGGGTTGAGCCAAAAGAACAATTGACCACAAGCGCGGTCTGAAGGATCAGCTCCTTCCTCGTTGGCATGGTATTGCTTTGGCTCAGCTGACTGTTGATTGTTGTTGAAGAGGTTCAAACGAGCCATGTCGTAGAGGGTTATTCTGAAGTTTTTTGTTTTCTCCCGGTCAAATGAGGCGGAGTGGGTAAAAGAGGATGGTGAGTCGCCCAGGTAGCACTCAACTTTATCCTATTGTAATGAAAGTCAATTGAAAAATTCATGGCTCACCCTACTACTTTGGTCAATATCAAGGGCTTGTCTGTTGTGCAACATCAGCGAGTACTCGATAGTGCTGCCAAGGGAATCGGCTGTGGGATAGTGCAGGGTAGCCGCAAAAATGTATGTTTTGAGGGAAATTACGACGAAACGTAGAATGAATGGTGATAATTTAACAAGAAATAGGTAAGGAACATTCCGCAAGAAAGCGAGATGAGAATCAGGACGGGACCGGGAAATGGGTCAGAAAAAAGCATCGCGGCATTGTTTGCGACTCTGCTTAGCAACCGGTTCACTACTTGTTGGCGAGTGGCTACTAATAGATCATTCCATCGAACAAAGACGTTAGTCAGCTACGGCGAAGCTGATACTGGAACAAGCAGCTCGGCGAATTCGGTTCAAATCATACTGCAAGCCACTGAGACTTTCCATGGTTTTTCCTTTCGATTCCTCAGGGCGGAAGTGGTGTAGTGGCAAGTGGCACGCTTACCACGCGAGCGGTCCGGGGATCAAATCCTGGGTCGTGAGTCGCCCGGGCCAACCAAGCCTTCCATCCCTCCGGGGTCGGTTAATTGGTACCAGACTTGTCTGGGAGGATAAAAACACTGACTTGTACATCGGCTGGCCCCCAAAGTCATTGTATAGGCCACATCGCATTCAATGCCACGAATGTACAAATGGAAGTAGAATGCGTGCCGCATCCCAAAAAGGGATTGATTCGCGATAAATGCTTTATCGGTTTTGCTACTTAGCTCCCCAAAATGAGTGCACGCTCTGCCTTCACCGATTAATTTTTGATATGCGGTGTAAATCATACTTCATTTAAAATCACAGTGGGAACGAGCAAGCTTACAGCAACCATTCAATGTTTGAGACTGTGTTTTGTTTTCACTCCAACAAAAGTCCGGTAACAATTAAACGGCCACAAAAGGATGGAACAATTAGGTTGCCCGGAAGTTCAATACCGGGTTTGGGTGTGTGGAGAGTGCTACAAGTCGCAAGTCCAAATATATTACCACATCAGCTCGTACTGCTTAAAGGCAGCGATTACGATAAGAGGGAGCGCATCGGGGAAGCATATGCACCACACGAAGCAGTTACTTGGCTGCCAAGGAAGCGAGGTGTGGCGCTTTCACGACGAAAGGTGCGCTGGTTGCTGAGCAGGACTTCGAAAGCACTCCGCCCCCAAAAGCGATCCGCCCACTAGTTTAGTTGGTGATTTAGGTTTGGCATGGTGCCACCGAAGCGTTGCGGTGAACTCGTTCACACGCCGCTTTCTGAACTGTCATCTGGGGCGGTATTCAATCCTTCCCCAGGGGGATATATCCCCTGATTCAATCCTCTGGGGGGACAAAAAAGGGTTGCGTCATAGGACCTAGCATACCTCTGTGTTTCTACCTGCCAGACAGTTAGAGCAGCGCGACCCCTCAGGGAAAAGAGTGCTTCAACAGTGA